GGCTGCCTCTCCTTCGCCCCCCCCCCCCCAGGCCTGAGCAGGTCCCTGGCGCTGGGCTCCTGCGCTCGGAGGGAGCTCCTGCTTCTCCTCTTCGGCCCTTTCGCCTGCCTGCCTGCCTTTGGTGCCGCTTCCGAGGCAGCCCTCAAGGGCGATAGCTGTGGGAGGAGCCGAGCATTTGGCCTGCCCTGAGGTCCGTGTGGATTCAGCCCTGACACTGCCCTGTCTGAGACGGTATAGCTCAGGGGTGGGCGGCCTGGGCCCCTTCATGACTCGCGGACTTCAACTCCCAGAATTCCAGAGCCAGCCTGGCTCAGCTTGGAAACCTCTCCCTGTCCCCTCAGCGTGGCTGGCTCAGGAATTCTGGGAGTTGAAGTCCACGAGTCATGAAGGGGGCCATAGTTCCCCACCCCTGGTATAGGTCCTCCTGCTTGAGCAGGGGGCTGGACTAGAAGACCTCCAAGGTCCCTTACAGATATATTTGTATATCTCTGAAATATAAATATGATACTGAAAATATTTTAGGTGAAGAAAAACAAAAAACGGCCTGTTTTGATTCTATGTTTTTTGTTTTTCTTCACCTAAAATATGTTCATTGCTATTGTCTGGACAGCCAGTAAATTGCAGCGAGGCAACCTGGGGCCTTTTGTACCAAAGACGTGGCACACGAGGAAAAAAAGGAAGAGGAGGGAGGAGGGAGGCTAAAGGACTCTGCAAAGATGGCCTTCCATGAGAACGAACAGATTCGGTGCCAGAATCAAAACAGGCCGTTTGCCCACTGAAGCCTCCCAAGCAGACCGCCCCCCCCCATCACATGCCAACCTTTTGGGGTGGGGGGTGGGGGGGCTTTATTAAGCAGGGATGATGTGTTAGCAAGAATGTCCTGTTACAAACAAACAGTATCATGTTTATATTTCAGAGATATGCAAATATTTGCAAACCACACGGTCTAAATTATCAGAGGGCTCAAGAGCCTGTTTTAATCCCGATTAATTTAATTCCAATAAATAAATCCCTATTTAATCCCATAAATAAATAAACTGATTTAAAAAGTTTTATTGTAACCAAGCACACTGTAAAACTTGCGGTGGGCTTGGTTTAGGAGTGGTTTACTTGCATCGTGGTTTATATTCAGTCCTCTGTGATTCTGAGTTTTTGTTTCTTTTCTGTTGCTGGAGACCAGAACAAAAATGGTTGTCTTCTCTATTTGTGATTCTTTTAATTATTAAAGGTGCCGGTATAAGCAGAGGGGGCAGAGGGGAGCCATCCGGGCTTCTTGGTACACTTGGAGGATTGTCAATAGAATTGAAGGGAGGCAGGGTGGATGGCGGGGGGGGGGGAACCCTTTGATCTATTTGTCTACATTACAGAAATCTTCCCATTAGCTGACGGGGGG